TATTGTTGACACGCTATAAATTTATAATTCCACCATACTTGTTACTTATTAACTACCCTTTACATTAAGATCACGTTTATGAAGTAGAATCCATTGCATTGGTTCAGTAATGAAATTGCTATTAGAATTTCTAGTAGATTAGTGTTTAATGTATTTTGCATTTCACTTGGCATTGAACTAATGCAGAAGTTAGTTCGGTGTCTTTGCTTGCTAAATTTTCAATTAAGAAACGTCGCATTTGCGAAGCACGCGATAAATTATTAAAAGGAACAACGTATTATATTCTTTTTCGTTCTTAATACAACCGAGATTTCTCAATAGAATCAACAACTATCTCGACACGAAAATTTGAAAATTGAGAATTCGAGAAACTGGAACAACTTCCCACGCCAACGTTCCACTCTAGAATAAAAACAAGAACGTTTCATTCTCGAATAAAAACAATTCCTATCCCGCGGAATGATGGCGAAGCAATATAAGGAAAATAAAAATTGCAAAGGTTTGCGCGAGAGTGTCCTTCGTATATCATGAATGAGAAGGTAAAATAAATAAATAAATAAATAAATAATAAATGCTAGTTTGATAGAACGGATGTTCACTTTATTCCAAAATGGCTGTATATCGAGAGGATTGGTATCGCGAGCGGAGTGTAAGTACTTCCTCTTACAAATGGGCCGCGCTGCACCGGAAATGCTGACAAGCGCCGATAGCCGCCTTAAATCTCGTCGGACGTACAAATTTCATCAAAATCGATCCGTTTGTTTGGACATGGAGTCGCGTAGAATCGCAGATGCGTCAGTACGAATGCGGAAATACGATCTCGTTCAAATCGATGCGAGTTTGTATAAAATTAATTTAAATCCAGCGACACGATCTGTAAATTAACGCGTGAATGCGTCGTCTCGGTCTTTCGCTGTTTAATATGAACATTCACTCGCACGTACATACAAACACGGCGCTTTGTATCATGTATCGTAAACTAAAGAGAACGCGTAGATTATTAGCGCCAGTTTCACGGAATTATTATTCTTGGAATATTGGGTACACGTGTAACATGTTGAATGTTGTTACCGAGAAAATTTCTCGGAAATACAGAAACGAAAGTGTAAATATTATCCGCAGCCGCGAGGCGAACAAGTCTGGAATATTTGCGTCCTCAGTCGTGCAGAAGCTATCGAAAGCGTAACATTCGCGTGAAATACAGTCGATTAAGTGCGCGTTAGTTAAAAGAAATAGTAAAGTGATAATGTATTTACCAAAAGATGCTGATAATTTTGGCAAAGGGAAAAATTGTGTCCAACAACTCGGGATAAACGTATTAAAATACGTATCGCATTTTCAAATTCAACCTCGACTGCGAGACAAATTGCAGAAAAAGCAAAGTAGTTGGGAATGTTCGACGTCTTTTAAAGAATCGTGAACATTTGAAAATTGCAACAGAAACCTTGAAGGTTGAAGCTAGAGACATAAGCTGTGTGCCGTTTGCAAGATTTTCGGAGGAACGTGTTTGTACGAATAAGAAATGGCGAGGAGTCATATTTACCGATAAGAAGAGGTTCAATTTAGGCCTCCACTGCTATTATCACGGTTTACGAAAGGAGCAGCAACTTCCCAGACGTCGACCCATGGGGAGCTGTTGGTAAGATGGAAATGAAATTTATCACAGGAAAATTAAATAATAAAGAGAGCAGTGAAACGATCGGCGAACAAATTAACACGAATTTTGCCGGAAATAAATACATTTTTACAAACAATACTTTGCAAAAAAAAAAAGAGAGAACATTCGTGTTTTGGAATAATTAACCAAAGTCTGCCGATTTGAATATGATGGGAAATTATTGGAGAACAATTATAAACAAGTATTAATGAATTCGAAAGAAAACGTGTCGTGGAAGGGTGGGAAGAACTAGGCCAAAAAAATCACTAGAAAACTATACAAATCTTTACGTCAAAGAATAGCTGCCGTTATTAAATTCAAACACGTTTCTTTCGTTTCTGTACATTGGTTTTTCACAAAATATTCTGCCATTTCGACCCGCTAAATATCACTTGCGTCACCTATGTACGTTGATAAAGGCACGAAAGAATGCATACAAGAAAGATTGTATGTCTCTTGTACGTATAATACACACGTTCGTCGGACGATCGTTCAGTCGAGTTCTCGCTGTTTTACTTGTAATAGCAGATGTTGATATCGTAAGATAAATGAAACGCGTTCGCTAAGAATATATATAACGCGATGAATTCGACTGGCATAAAAGCCGACGGGGGAAACGTTGAGGCGAGCCAAGTTCATCTGTGCCCTGGCACACGGCCGTGCGAGCGAAATTCACGAGCGCATCGACTACTCGTCGATCTTTTGTTCCGTGAACGGAGGTAAAAATTGCGTAGAAACGCGGAGCAGCGGTTTTACATCGAATGGAAAATTATGCTCGTCAGTTTCTGTAGACGAAATGCCAGGCCAGGTACAAACCTCACCGCCGCTCCGGTAAATATATTCGCGTTCCCATGCACGATGCACGAACAAATACAAGCGACTGGCTCCCACATAGCTCCGTACAACAGTTGTCACGCGTTTTGATCCACCGGCTACGTGGCACAAGCGCAAATAACATATAACCTGGCTGTACGAAAATGCGAGCTTTCAAGTACCGAGCGGCTTACCGCATGAATTTTTCGTTTCGACGTAGAGACCGACGTCTTTTTGTTTTCTTTCGGTTCTTTTTTTTTGAATAACTGGTGTCACCGATGTTGCCAAAACCGATGGTTATTTTACCCCATCTTATGGTTATTTGTATGATTAATAGCCAAAACTTTAATTATTCATTATCTGTCGTAAAATGTAACGATTCGTAGCAACGACGACGACGACAAAATTGTTTCAAAATTAGATTTCTCTTTGTTCACTGTTGCCACGGCGCGTGTAAATTATTTGCTGATCGTGGAATATAGAAAGGGTATATAAATTTTATGTGTTTACATAATACATAATTACTCGCAAAAGTGTTCGTACGCTTGTTGACAAAATTTCTGAACATATTACGCGTGAATTTTTTATAGTTTCATTAGCACTGTGACGTTCAACTATCACGATTATATCGATGAAATTTTGAACGATTCTCAGAATATGTGTCAAAGGTGTGTGTGACACGTGTAATACGTCGCAATGATAATTATATTTTGCAGAAATCACGTATTTAGAAAGTATTAAACACAGGCAACATTTATATGATTAAAATGGCTGTTCATATTGTATAACATTTTTTATTAAATATATGGTTGTAATAAATATTTCTTAACTTATATATTACATCGTTACAATTATGACAATTGCGTCTGATTCTAGTGTTAATGAAATTTTGAAATATCTCGCGTAATTAAACACAAAAGTTTGCGAGCTATGGTAAAATTGCTTTACAGAAGTGTCCGTCAAGCTTCAAATGTTTAAAACAAGAAAAGAATGATTTTGGACCTTAATTTGTTAATTAATTGATTTCTAAAATATTCGCAAAAGTTTCTGTAAAATTGCTGCAAATTCTGATTATGAAATGTATAATAATAATAATGATGATACATTTTGTGCGTCTTAATACATTCACGATGATTTCACGTATAAATAAAATAAACTTTGTAACTTGTTCAATTTATTTTTCAATTTCTAAATAACTTTAATCTAAATGGACGATTGTCTGCAAACTACTGAAAATCCTTCTTTCTTCCTCTACGAAAGCGAAACATTTCAAATGTTTCTTAATGAATTTTGTAAAGACTGTGAAAGAAAAAAAGGTTGCGGATCTTGTTCCTACGGAGAAAATAATTTTTTGTTATACCAAAGTTTCATATTCATTGATAGTACAATTTCCCCGAGGTTGCTCGAATTAACAGCCGATGTTTGACGAATCTCCCTCGGTGTAGAAACACGCACGCTATTCAGAACTCTTGAACTCTGCACGACGACATATTCGACGAGTCTCTATATTCGCATTTTCAGTCCGGTGGAACTCGGGGCCAGTCGTTGGCGAACACGCGGATACGGCGATCTTCCAGCAGTTAACTTCCCGCGGAACCACGTTCAGAAGTACGTATTCTTGGAATTTTCCGAACAGCTCGGAACATTTTTTCCTCCCTCCTCCCCCCACCCCGATATTTTCGATATCTCGACGAGATCAGAACTCGAGATAATAATAATCTCGAGGAGGGGGGGGGGGAGAGGCGGAGGGTGCACGGCGCATAGAAATTGTCCGTTATCGCTTGTAAATTGCTGGTTGCTCGGGAACGAAGCTGGAGAATCGAATCTTCGGTCAGCGCGAAATTGATTCCGCTGGCAACGTTTGCCTCGGAGCTCGAGGTTCCTTTTTCCACTCCCTCCTCCGCCTCTATCGGTTTCGCGTCCCACCGAAGTCACCTCGAGTTATACTTCTCGTAATTTCTCAAACGGGCTCCACGCGTGTGACCACCGCCGCGCCTCTTGATGCCTGCAGCTCATCGCCGTTGCAACTGAAGAGAAGCCGAGATCACACGAGAAGCACGTTCCTCGGCTGTCGTAGCCGGAGAACCCGGCGAGAAAGGAGAGGGAGACTCGCGAGAGGAAGGATAATCGGACGTCAGAGAAACGAAAGAACCGAAGGGAAAAGCGGAGAAACAAGAAGAAGCAGCGGCAGAAGAAGAAGACTAGCGGGAATGAGAAGGAAGAAGCAAGGTTGAATGCACAATGCGAGAGAAAGGGGGAGAGAGCAAGAGAGAAAGTCAACAAGAAGGGAGAAAGAAGGGGCGAGAGGAAGGGAAAAGGGTGGTGGCTGGGAGGGTTGGCAAACGGGGTGATATATAAGCAAGCTATAGACACGCGACACAGGTAAGCGCGCACGCGCGCTCACGCATACTCGGTTAAAAAGGAAACACGTACAGGGGTGGTGTGACGGTGTTCATGACGATGGTGTGGAGAAGTTCGGAGAGGCTGCACGGGGCGGCTGCGTGCTCGAGGCTCGAGCGGCGCTCGCGCAATGTAGTCCCTCGGCTATCCTTGACGCGGGAGCATCGTCGTTTCGAAACAGCCGCGACCTTCTCCCGTCGCGCGCGTTCCGTGAAAACGTCAAACCGACCCGACACGCTCCTCGTCACCGAGATCTGTTTTCTCTCTCTCCTTCTCTCTCTTTCTCTCTCTCTTTCTCTTTCTGCCTCTCTCCCTCTCTCTCTCTGTCGCAGAATCGACGAAATTCCGACGTACCAGCAAAACCGCCGGATCGTCGCGATCGTCTTTCCTTCGTTCTTTTTTTTTTTTTTCGTTGTGATCGACGCTCGGACAGATACGGAAAGATCCATCGGCGCGATCGGTTTGCGAGAGGCGGCGATGCAGATTGATCGAGACAGGATGTGTTGCAGTGACGTAACCGGTGAATTGTGATCCGCTCGTTGGACGCGATCGGCCAGCGGGACATGGATGGAGCATTGACGAGTACACGGTGGTTTATGCATTGCGCGTTCGTCGTTCGTCGAACGCTCTTGCCTTTCATTGCCGTTTGCATACGCGCCGAGTTTTTAAACGCGCCACCATAAACTTGAACAGAACTCTCTTGGACAGAAGTCGAGGATCTACCGAACTACCAACGACCAAACGTCGAGTTGCACACAGTTGAAATGATAATTCACGTACAATTGATTCCCAGTGGAATTCGTTGTAATTGGTGAGCTGTAAGCTTGGCGAAGACTGAGCCGAAGATTAAACGGAGCTCGACGAATCGACGGTGGATTTCGATACTCGGAAAACAGCGGTGAGAACACATTCGCGGTTACATTCGCCGGTGCATATTGCAAGTCGGTCAGGGAATTTCTGGCGGTAGGTCGAAGCCGAACTTCTGGCGAACAATCGGCCGGTGGAGCATAAAAGGCTCGTAACACTGCCGGCGCCTCGTGAACGAAAACTGGGTGACGTACGGTTATCGTTCGCGGCCCGATCGAACTTGGCACGAACTTCCTCCGTTCGCGATTCGCGCTGAATGGAACAACGAGGATCCCGATGTGCCGCGCGTACGCCTCGACCCGACTGAATTTCCTCTCCGATTGAAGAAGAGTTTCTTCGATCCGTGAATCCTCCAGCTGCTACGACTGGAAGCATCTGAAAACCAACGTGTCTGGATCTTAAGAAGACATCTGAAGACTGAAGTTCCGGCAAAATATCTCACTGCCCGTTCGAGATCCTTCCAATTTTTACATTATCACGTGAAACACGTATCGTAGCTTTTAAACGAAGAATTCAACGAGAACGTTGTTCGAGTGATCTTTTCACGCGTAACTGGCTGGCAGCGACAAACCCTTTTGGAATTTCACGGTACGTTGAAGGTGAAAAGGCGGATCGGTAGGTCGCCCGTTTGACCGAGTTTTGCGAAACAGCGTTCTCAAAACTCTTTTCCCAAAAACCGTGTTCCGCGGTGTCGCGTCTGGCTGACGTTGGTAAATAAACCGGACATTGGACATCTCGGAAGAAAGTCGAGAGATTCGACGCTGGAACGCGAGCGGAATAATTGAATCTCGATCGAGCGAAAGGCCAGAGAGAAAGAGTTTTGACGGATAAGGAGAAGCTGGACACACAGACGATTGACGGAAGGATGCAGCAGCGGCGGCGGGAGAAATCGCGAGAAAGAATGATCGATGGAACGTCTAGCACGCCGGGGGAAATTACTTTAACGAGTGTTGCCTAATGCATTGCGAACGACTTGGCGGCGGGCGAGAGGCATAAAAGCGTCGACGGTGTGCTGTGCCCTTTCTCCCTTCGCCCGCGCGAATCTTAACCAACGCTGCTGCTCTAGCCTCGACGAAACACTCGCGCCGTTAATTACATTCATTAAGCGGGGTTCGCGCGGTACACGCGCTCGCGTTACGTTACATTTTCAGCCGCAACTCTCCGCCACCGGAGAATAACACCGCTGCTGAATTCCTCGACGGTGCCGCCCGAAACGCTCCCCGTTGCACCGGGAGAGAGAGAGTTTCTCGTTTCCCCAAACGAGGGGGGAACAGAGGCAGGGTGAAAACGCCCGAGCGAGGGCGAACGAGGGAAAGAAAGAAAGGAAGAAAGAAAGAAGAGGGAAAAAAAGAAACACGCGAGTGAAATTCGGGTCAAGTTGCAACACGGCGTGAAACAGTGTGTGGAAAAGGACTTTGTGATTTCGGCACGTTGAATTTGGTTTACGAAAAAAACGTAATCGAAGGACGTGTGTGTGTGTGTGTGTGTCAGTGACGTTTGGAAGTTTCGGCGCGATCGTTTACCGGAGGAGATATCATGACGCTGTGAGCTCGGAAGTGACCTCGGATCGGCCGGAAGAAAGAGGATCGTTCGGGGGAGAAGGGAAACGATCGTTTTGCGATTCGCGGTGAAAGACGACAGCGTTTGAAGTGAAATGTCACCGGGATCGAAAGACTATTGCCAGCAGCAGTGCTAGCGAGAACTGTCGTTGCCGTGTGAGGATGCGCGATTCGGTGAAACGTTGTTGAAATGTTGTCGCGTGTGAGATAGTATATATCAATATGTGAAAGAACCTCGCCGAGGATAAGCGATGTCTACTTCTCTTCCCATACTCGTCTGTTTTATCATTTCTTTTGGTAAGTAAAAGAGAAAAACAACCTCGAGAGGCTGATATTCTCCACCTCTCTCTCTCTTTCTCTCTCACTCTTTCTCTCTCTCTCTCTCTCTCTCTCCGTAACACAGTTTCGAAACTCGGAGCAACTTGGAGTCGAGTCGAGCCGGGATAATTTGGTGGAATTTGTTGTCGCGGGGATCGGCCGCAACGGGTAATAAAGATTTTAATAACGCCGCGAGAGCGTTCGTCCTAACGAAGTTGTCGCGCTTGTCCGCCCAAGGTATAGCAGGTATACACTGTATAAGGCTCGCCCGGCAAGTATTTGCATTTCAAATCTCCTCTCGGGCGCGATCGAGCGATTTGAAATTAATACCGGCGGAGCAGAGGAGGCTAGTCTCGCCGTTCTCGCGTTTCACCGTGTTCCCGCCCCGATGTTCCGCCACTGTCGCGGAACGAGAGCCAAATAATTCGAACGCGTCCGAACGAGCGAGCAATTCTTCTTTTCATTTAATGTAAGACGAACAGCCGCCCGGCCCGTTTGAATTGCAAATCGATCGTTTTTCCACCGACTGACCCACTGTCTTGTATTATTCATGATATCCCTCTCGATCCCGGCCACCACCACGCTTTCACACAACATTTTAGCTCTCGCGCACACCTCCAGCTCTCCTCGTGTATCTTTCAGTTTGATTGAATTTGATGAACTCCGCCGAACGGCTGATACGGCGAGACGAGATTGTTACTCGCGCGGCAGAGCTACGCCAAACCCTCTCTTCAACCATCTATTTAATTTTCCAACGTACTTGCACTCACCGACGAGTATTCCCGTCTCTCGCGTTTCTAAGCGTAGCTCCCGACTCCACCTATTCCTCTCTCTCGGTCGCTTTTACATACTTTCGACGGTAACCGTGCGTTTCATCGATTAACCTGCACCGACGGTGAATACGTATATATACATATTCTGACGCGGAATATTTTCGATCAACGAGCAAGTCGTCGCAACGACGAATAACTTTCGTTGAGAATAGAGCGATTGGCAAGTTTTTTTTTTTTCTTTCTGATCGAGGATTATAAGATACCGCTGACACTTTTCACTTTGTTTGAATTCATTTGCAATGGTTATTGATTAATATTGGTAAGAAAGACGATATTTTTTGATTAATAGAATAATGGAACGATAGCAACAGCCGCTGTTTATAATTGTTCGAGCACTAGTATTTTTTTTTTATAAATAAGAGAATTTTATTCGTCGAGAAAATAAAATTGATTATCGAGACATTGCTGTTTATCATTTCTAGGTTACTAGTAATTTTTATGATATTGAATTAATTTATCATAATCGTTAATTATCCAGTGTGTAATAAATTGTCACAGTGATTTCGGAAGATAGTTTTCATCAAGAATAGCGATCGTTGCGAAATATTTTGAATTTACCATTTCTCGATCACTAACATGTAATTTTCTGTAATTCTGAAATAATTTACAACTTAAATTACTGACTACCGAAGGGAAGAATAATTTTCGCCCGGTATAACACACGCTACTTGAAATTCGTTTTCGACCAACGAACGCAGCATTGCAATTTGCAATTTCTCATTCATCAACATCTTTCTCCACACTTAGATTAATTTACATTCTTAGTTCCAGAGTTTTCTACTCTCCGCCCGAAATGGGAAATTAATTAAAAGTCTAAACTTGCGTATCTGCCTAGTGTCACACGTTTCGTTCAGACAATACCACCGTCTCTTACAATTGTAACCTTCTAATTCTCCATTTTCCATTTTCTGTCCGTTAATTAGAAACTAGTCGCAGGTTTAGAACCTTAGACGTTACGCATTTCGTTTCGTTTCGTTTCGTTTCGTTTCGTTTCCAATCGAGAGAAGAAGAGAACAGCTGTCTGGTTCCTCTCTCGACAACTGTCTCTTTCTAAAATTCATCCTTGAAAATTCGTAACACCTGCCGTGATAAATTCTTTCGCGGCAAACGTTTTCATTTCTCCGCGGGATTTATCACACAGTGGCACGTTGCGCGAGAAATAGAAGGGAGAGACGCAATATTTGCGCGCGATTCAACGCACAAACAGCTCCTCGTACGTCTTGGACCCGCGCTTGTGGCTGGCCCCCTTCTCTTCTCGCGCCACGCGTCGAGAATCTCGCTGAAGAGTTGGTCTCGCGAAAAGTTGCCATGTTTTTTCCTCGAAACGTGAAAGAGAGAAAAAAAAAAAAAAACGTGCGATAGTCGGGGCCGCAACCATCGCGAGAAAACACGCGGTCGTTTTAGCTTCTCCGTTGTTTGACATTTTATTCTCGTTGTATATTTTACTCCGAGTGGCAGATGCGCCGATGGCGACGCGGCGAACGAATGCGGGGCGTCGAATTAATCCGTAGCAAAAAAAAAACGTTTATTCGTCGGCACGTTGAGAAGAAACTTCAATATGACAACGACAATGAACGAGAAAGTGATGTTCTTGGGATATTCCGAATTTAAACGTCAGAAGTTTGCGGTATCACGTAGGCGACTGATAAATCGAGGTAGAAAGTCCTTTAGGGATTTCTTTCTCGTTCGTTTTTGTTGCATTTTTGGAGAGGCTGAAGGAACAAGAAGGTTTTCTCGGTTTTTTTTCACACTTATTCACTTACACTTACTCATCGTTTATTTTATCATCTTGTGATATCATTTATTATTATTAATCAGCAAGCATTATTATATCGATATATGAATGGACTTAGTTAATCTTTTACAAATCCACACAATACACTTTCGATGGGGACTCTTCGTACGTGAGTTAGTTTGTATTTGCATAATTGTGAATTACTGACAACTCTGACTGAACGTCGAGGAAACAGAGTTTTACTTTCATGTTTCATTTATTTACAATAATAATATTTATAGTAATATTAAATATCGTAATACAAAATTAATAATAGTGATATGTACATTTAATATAATAGTATGTGCATTTATTTACATACACAAGAAACCATTGTGGCAGGTGAAAATAATATAATTATTATATTACAATTACAAATATTCGTCTTTGATTTCAACCCCTACGTACTCGTATAAACGTAGAATTTTAATCTTGGAAAAGCAAACACGTTCGAGGTACAAATAACAATAAATAATAGAACAATTGAAAAAAAGGATAAGGTATAATATAGTAAATTATAACGAATAATAGTAAATGATGTAAAAAATGCAAGTATGAATAATAACAATAAATAAAATGTAACGACTCAGCTGTACTATGTACAACGCGACGTTCAAGTATCGCAAAAAATCTACGTAATTAGACGTGATAAAGCATCGCCCAGACTTATCCTATGTTTAATGCTAATGCCTATTTATCCTCACCGCAAGAAAATAATCGCGCCCGACGTTAATCGACGTTTTTCCACGTGAAGATTCGCTTTTCCCTCCGCGGTGCGGACTAACTTGCCGCATATTAAATCCCTGAAATTTCACGATGTTAACGACTGGATGAGTCGCACGTTTCCCAGCCGTACGTTTTTGCAAATCGGTATTTAACAATTGCCAAATCTGCGAACTCTATTTTTTTTTTCAACAACGAGAAAGATCGCAGAGACGTATCTTGTTTATTTTTTACTTCTGTTTAATCATTCAAAACGTTGACTATCTATCATGGTAGATCCTAATTCGATGTTGAATTTAAAATTTAAAAGAAATACATCACAGTTTCGATAGTCGAGTGTTTCCAAAAATCCTGTGCGTCGATTAAACAGATCAACGCGAAATATGTGCACGTTGGCGCCGTTTGTCTTACGCTCCTCGCGTACGGATGTATCGCAGCTAGTCAAAGAACGGAAATTAGTTGGCAGCGCGACGTCCGTTCGCAACGTGTTTCCAGGTAAACGGTTTATGTCCTAGCGGGCCCGGTGTTCATGGAAATTCGTCACGGTCCGGTCGGACACGGTTTAGCTTCCTCGCAGCTATCGAATCGAAAGCCGCGCACCGAACTTTCCTCCTCCTCCCTCCCTTTCGAACGTTCCCTTTGTCTTCCGAATAAAGCGATCTGAATCTCGCGGAAAATTTTCGAATCGAATCTTTGCTTCGATGACTCGCCACTGAAACCGAACGATCGCGTGGATCTCGCATGTATGTTTTCCCGTGTTACACGATGTGATTTACATCAACTCTTTAACTATCTGAAAATTTGGTTATCAATGATTTTATTTCAGTGTTTTAAAAGTTTCAAAATTATCCAAATTGTATGCGTTTGTTCGTCGTAACAATGCAAGGCATCATTTTTTATTATTTTTGATCCGAGTACAAACCCGGATCTCTTTCACAGATGTTACAAATGTAATTCGTGTCTTTTCGTGTTAGATCGGCGTTTTTCTTTTCACTAAATTCTTCTTTTTCTTTTTTTTTTTTTTTTGTGAACAATACTACAGATATTTATTACTGTATGTATCACTACTTCTTTGTATGTTAATCTTTCAGGGCCGATTTTCATGACGATATTGATGATTCAGACATTTTGAGAACTTTCATAGCTTTAAGTTACATTAATAATAATAATTAGGTAATTTCTGTCGTTTAACGTTAGCATCAAACTATGCTAATAGTTCCGAAAACTTCGAAAACTCGTTTGATATTTTCCTGTCCAAGTTACATCGTGCCATGTAACATCTGATAATTTTGAGAAGCTTTAGGAAATTGAAATATTTACTATATTATTTAGAATAATAGTTATTCATTGTACACAGAGTGTTCTCTTCACGCAGTTAAGTGTTCGAAAAGTGTTCGTTGTTGTTTCAAGTGTGAATAGTTGCGTAGAAATATTAGAATGGGACATTCTGTATATTAATAATAATTATTATTGCAATAGTTATTGATTAAATATACTGTAATGATAATGTAATTCCTTGATCCTTAATGGATCAATCGTAATTGAATTTATCTTGAAAAAATGTCAACCACCAAGTTTCGCATTATCTTTTTCCCATCGTATTTCCTATCGTTTCATCGACGTACTTCGTTCCAGCAGAAAATTGACCG